ACTATGTGTATGCGGCGCGTCAGCCGTCGAAATATGTATATATATACGCACCCCCCCGCTGCGGATTCGGCGACATAAGGCCCGTATAATGTACAATATAACATCATACACGAGCGAATGCGGAACGGGAAAAAAGATAAATAAAAAGAAAAAAAAAACAGCCATTGTCGTGAAATAATATAATAATACATATAGTATATAATAAAATCGTCTTTTGTCGCCGCCGATGTGATCCCGCGCGCCGCCCGGGGACCATTATATGTCGTTTGTGTTATTATTACAATCATTTATTTATCGCGATATTATATCATGTCATTATATATTATATACATCATATTATACCGTTGGCGATGTGCGTACATGTGTTAAACACGATGCCGCCGACGCCCACCCCTATCCAACCGAAACGAGGGGGTGTGGTGAGAAGCTGCGACGGAGATAATGTCAAAAAAAAATACACGAGCGACTATTACGCGATTAGGGTGGTTTTGTATATACACACACACACATGCGCGCACGCGTAATATTTATATATGTGTATATATATATATTGTGTGTGTATCTGTGCGAGAGCGTGAACGTTTAGGGATTTGTCGCATGTATATAACAGACGGAAACCACCCCCGTAGTTTTTATCCACACATATGACAACATTGCGTATAATACAAAACCACAATCCGACGGCACATAAAATATAAACGATCGTTAATACATACGCGCGTATTATTAAGCATTATTATATTGTGAAAATCAAACGTATTATATTATTATATTGGCCTAACGACGTACACATATTTTCTTTTCTTTTTATTTATTTTTTATTTTCCATCAGTCTAATGAGAAGAAACGTCAGCTATAAATCCAATTCACGTATCTACAAAACGTATACGTACCTATACAATATAAAATACACATTTCTGCCTAGTTGTTTTTTTCTTGAGATTTTTTTATTTTTTTTACTCCTGAGTTGATTTTTGGCATATTATTGTTTTTAGTAATTATTTTTTTTTACGTAATACATTCTTAAACAATGGAATCTGAAATATTTGAAAACTCAACGTTTGTTTTTACATCATCTGATCTTGTGATTTGTAATCTTTATAACAAATTCATAGAATAAAACAAAATTAAAACCTATATATAGGTATACCTACGGCTAAATTTAAACAACTTTTTTTCGAATTTCTCAGATAATTGTTTGTTTTGCTTTATTTTAAATGCTTTTTAATAGTTTTAGTGCTATAAATTGAAGCCAACTATTTTATATACCATACAGCACAGAGGTATGTGTGTGTGGGGGGGGGGGCAATCAAGAATATTTAAAGGTAGAGTTATCTGTAAAATTGTAATTCTTTGTTTTGTGTACAAAGCCCGAAAACGCTATGATCTTCATTATACAGTGGTTATGATTTTAATCTCGACCTCGAATGACTTTAAAAGTTAATTATACCAAATACATTTTGAGTACAGTACACATTTGCCGATTAATTGTATAATGGTATCGCTTAAAGAATATTGCAGCACGGATGTCGAAAAAAAATATAAACATATTATTGAATATGATTCGATATTTTAAGCATAGTCAAATAAATCTACTACACTCATATTATATAACAAACAACAATCTCAACGCGAACAACAATTTCTGTAGATGTCTAAAGGATTTGCCCACTGGGGATTCGCAACATTTATGTGCTTCATCTCTAATCTATTGTATACTATATAACATTCTACAACTACCCCATAGCGCTGGGAAGACGATATTCTGTTTATTTTACTTATTCTTCTTTCTTCCATTACAATACAAAATACAGTTATGTTGTAATATGTTATTGACAAAACTTTAAAAACAAATCGAAAAACATTTCGGTTGGTCACACAGCTGTCGTTTTCATTAAAAAAAAAAATGTTGTGTTTGCGCGCTATTGAGCAATAGGGGAATTGAGTATACTATATACCTCCTGACATCAATATTTAATTTATGACCAAAGATTATTGATTAAGGGGTTACGTGATGCAATCTACATACGTGGTTCTGTATTGGAACACTAAAAAGATTGTGCGCTATAAACGACAACGGTCATCATAACCTCGGCATAATTGATGATTAATTGGAATACGCATACTTTTGTAATCATTATTGATCACTATAATATGATTAATTGTTATCTGATTAGAATACCCATGTTAGTAGGTATAATCGTATTTATTTTTCCATTATAGATAGACAAACGAGTTTCAAAAAAAAAAAAAAAAAATTGTCACGAAAAAATAATTTCGAGACACACGCGTTTGTAAATTCTCTCTACACATGCGATGACAAGTCACGCGAAACCACAATTAAATAATATTTTTCAATTATCACATCCGTGGTGTATTACTTATATATAAATATACCTATATATTATATTAAATAGATACAAGTAGGTACATAAACATCATGAATATTGTGCAGGGCCAAACGCGCGAATATCATTGTAATCTGCACGTTATTCGAAATGTACCCGAACCACACAAACATTAGGTATATCGTAAGAACCACATGTTTTAAGTATATATATACACACACACACACACAAATAACCACTAACCGAGTGATAATTCATGGTGATGACGTCGATGTTTCTGCACTGATGATAATTCGTTAAATCAAAAATACTATATTACGAACAAGTTTTATTAAAGTTAAACAGCTGAAGATTAGTGGAAGCCAGCTGAAATGAAACTAAATGTACAAATATCGCTGCAGAATAATATGTATAGTGTCGACTTGTAGTTTTTGATATACATGGTGTAAATATAGTGTATGATATAGTAAATTATTTGATTAGCACGTTTCCCGTGTACCTTCTCATCACCGTGGTAAACCTATAATAGGAGTCTATCAGTCAATTTACCGCAAAATTTTAATCACGTTGACTAAAATCTGTGATGGATATAGTAATATCGCCTGAATTAGTGACTAATTATAACGCTTTATAGGGAGATTTTAAAATTGTGTTTAAGAATACAATTTATAAATATTTATATATAATATAAGTATATACCTATGTGTAATAGTTATAAGCTATTTGCAGGTATTTTCAATTTTTCCATAATATAATTATCAAAAAAAATGTTTACAGAGATATAAATTTCTCGGTTTACTGTAAAAATATTTGTACTGTACGTTCGGGTGTTAGAAATGTGCGAAAATCAACAAGCCATACCAACACGTAGAGTTTAAAGCGCGTCACATATTATACTGTTTGGTCACGAAACACCAGAGATTTTACGGTGTTATAGGTTGGGGTTCACACCGGAATAAGATTTTTCTTCTCGAAAATAACCCGTATTAACATTGGTTAACAATTTAATATTATATTATAATATTGCGCGTGTATGACGGTAACAATAGGCAATTACGCGCGTTCTAATATATTCTTGTGATGAATTCGTGGCCGGAAAAATAGAATAGGTAGGTACTTAACAGTCACCTCGAAAAATAACGGCATCGATTATCGACATTAACTGTATTAAATATTACAATCGATCGTAAGTGTAATTTATATACATCTTTTCGATTTCTACGGAGAACGCATACAAGATACAGTTTCGAAATAATATCGCGAATTGTCGCGCGGAATGTCAACACCACTACGGAGCGGGGTCGTGACATTTTCAATAATATACATTCAATAATATTGACACGCGTATTAAATAATAGTTGTGTGTGTATTATTATAACTTTATAAGTAAGCATAATATTATGACTTTTACTTTTCGCCTACCGTTACGCAACGCTGCATGTTTCATGCGCATAAAACGTTAAATGGTCGATTTATAATTGTATATAATATAATAGGCGAACAACGGGAACAAAAACAATCGAACACACACACACACACACACGTACACGCTGCGTGTGTATCGGTCGTATTCATGGTAAAGTAGTCGTCAATCATTCGACGACGACAAGTGCAACGAATATATCATTACGAAAATCGGCTCAAGACACGAATGCGAAATATATTATATTAATATATATATAATTATATCATTATGCGCGTGTATAAATATATATATAGGTACAATAACACACCTACGCGTATCATATTATTTTGTAGACATCTAAACATAATATGCTGCAGCGTATATAATATTATTATACCAGTGCACATTATATATATTATATATACCTACCTACATAAACGTTAATCGCATTCAACGTGTGCGACAATAATATAACATCGTACGATCGTATCAATGCGTATAATATATGTATATATATACGATATGGCGGCGAATAGAGACGATATATTTTTTATTTTTTTCGTATTTATTCGCATAAATTACACGTTATACGCGCATATTATACAAAAACGAACGGAATCGAAAATCGCGCGGATTATTTTTTTTCCCACTGCTTACGCGACGTATGCGACGAATGACTTAATTTCTCGTATGTTAATTTATATATTTAAACGCTAATGACTATATATAAATGCGGCGTGTGTGTGTGTATGAACAAAAATATCATGTGTAAATATATGATTATCGTACTGCGTTTAGAGACGTTCGTACATAATAGCCTATGCGCTGTAGCAAACGCAAACGTATATAATAGTATAATAATATGTAATCATATTCTGATCTGTGGTCAGTTCAGTCGATTAAATCGCGTTGAAAACGATTTCGCACGTGCATATAAATATCTATCATATAATATAATTTACATAATTGAACGACGGCGGCAAGCTGGCTGCCAGAAATAGGCAAACACAGACGGCGAATAAATATAAAAAAAGTAACAACCAATGATGAGTTCATTATCACGTGCCTAATTTTTCAGGTATAATATGTAATATCTAGCCGTAAACCCGAGGACGACTTTTCGAAACCCATCCACATACGCGGGAAATTAATATTTTTGCGTGCGATCTGCTACACTGCAGAACGGAAAATCGAATACAAACTTAACGATATGCGTATAATAATGCGAAAACCGTTATGGCACTTACCTGAAGACGGTCTGTCCGAGTATCGCGTGCAGTACACCCAAGCCGGCCACATCTCCTTGTCGTTGGACTGCTGATCGCCGCTTCCGGTCGCATCCGATCCCGCCGATTCCTGTTCATTGCCCGAGTCGTCTGGCTTGTGGTGGCCGCCATTCGCCGACTTGCTGTTGTCGCTGTCATAGTTGTTGTTGTTGTTGATAATGACGGGCGAGCACGCCGGCAACGGCTGCTGTGCCGGTTTTCGTTTGTTAGCCTTGTCCGACGCGACAGCGGGCGCGGGCCGTTTGGGTCCGACACTCACGACCTTAGGACGGGTAGGAGCGGGCCGATGCAGCGACGGAACGGACTGTTGGAAGTGTGGCTTGTTCTGCAGCAGAGTGTTAAAGTGCATTTTGGCGACGGAAGGCGGCGGCGGTGGCGGCGACGCTGACGACGGCCTGCCGTTGCGGTGGTGGTGTTGTTGGGGCAAAGGCTGGTGGTGATGGTGGTGTTGCTGCTGTAGGTGCTGATGTAATTTGCTGCCGAATTCCGGCCTGAGTATGTTGTCAACGGAAAACGCCAACCGGAACGGACTGGGCGAGCGGGGTGACGGCGAACGGTAGCTGCCGCAGTTCTTCGTGGTTCCGGCGCCGGCGGCCGTCGGTGGTCCGTACGACGACGATACGTCCGACGAACCGGAAGTGCTGGCCGGCCTGGATACGTAACCGGTGACCATCATCGGTGACTGCTGCGACAACGGCTGCGGCGGCGGCGGTGGTGGCGGCGGCTGCAGGGGTTGGTGGGCCGCCGACTGCACCACTTGCGGCGCCGGCACTACAGGAGGACTATGGTGTAGGTTCAGCTGCTGTTGCCTAGCGAATTCGACGTGTTGCGACTGCAAGTGGAGTGCTCGCTGTGGAGAGTGGTCGTCGCCGCTCATTTCGGGCGATCCGTCGCTGGTCGGATGGTGCAGGTTGTGGTGTTGCATTTCCCGGAAATACTCGGCCGCGGCCGGCACGATCGGCAGGAAGTTGAACCGGTACATCCACGAGTTGAACGGAAACACGGGCGGCACGTGACCCGCGCCACCGCCGGCGGCAGCAGCCGCGGCCGCGGCCATGGCCATCGTGTACTCGACCGCGACCGCGGCCGCCGCCGTGGACGGCGCCTGAAGCGGGCCGTGGTCGCCGCCGTCGTTGTGGACGGCGTGTTGCTGCTGCTGGTGGACCCATCGCGGCACGTCGGCAGTCGTTTGCTGGATTTTCTGAACGTTCGACGACGGTTTCTTCCTCGCGGGCTGCTGTAACAGTGGCGGCGAGACGTGACGGCTATGAAGCGGGTCGGCTGCCGCCGCGGCCGTCTTGTTCTGCAGCGGCGAACATATGCTCAGCGGCTTGCTGCAGGCCAACAGCGACGATTCCTCGGCCACGGCCTTCGGCGGACTTCGATTTTCGTGGTCTGCGCCGTCCACAGCCGCGTCGTCGCGCACCGGCCGGAACGCGGAGACGGTGACGTCCGGCTGCGACTGCTGTTGCTGCGGCGGCGACGACGACGACACCACTTCTTTGGTCTGATCGCTGCAGTCGTCCAGCCCGGGCCTACGGTTGTTGTCCGTCGGGCCGGGGCTCGAAGCGTTGTTCGGACTGCAACGTTCCGTCTCCAGGGCCATGACCTGCAGGCCCGGATCCGTCGCGAAACGATAAAAGTCGACAATTGCGGCCTTACGTACGTACACGGTTACAAGGCCAAATCGACGACGGTTTGACGTCGTCGGCAATGCGTGTACGAGACAATATAAATAATAGTAATAATAGTAGTGATAATAATAATGACGTAAACGTTATAAATAGCGTTTTGCGTGGCGCGTGTGCGCGGTGGCGGTTTCGCGGTCGGCCGCGCGTATTCCCGAAAAACGGCGGCTACGGAGGCGGCGTGCGACTCGTCTCCGCGGCTCGATCTGTTGTAATCGTCGTCGGAACGAGTCTACCGGCACGTCTGGTCACGGGCCGCCGTGGCCGCCGCGCAGGCTCCGCCCGTCGGCCGTGCCATGGTTACGCGGGGCCGGCGGGCCAACGGGCGCGACCGCAGGGCCACGCCCACCGGACCCGCCGCCCAGCGCTATTGGCCGGCCGATTGAGCTGTCCGTTCTACCCGCCACCGACGCCTATGCGAGCGCGCGACGACGACGACACCACTTCTCCGCGCGTACATCTCTCTCACGCGCGCGCACACACTCGCTATACTGTTGTTGTTGTTGTTGTTGTTGTTATTTTTACTATTATTATTATTCTTTTCATGCTCTTCTGCTGCTGCTCCTTCACCTCAACACCTCTCGTTCAACGCCGCCGCCGCCGCCGCCGCCGCCACTGCACAGCCGTCTTCTTTTCACAAATATATACCTATTATATACATATATGTATTGTGTACGGGTATACACAGCTAGATACGTGTGTGGGTAGTATTATATATAAGGGATCCGCAACGTCACGAATGTATGTAGAAGACAAAACGAGAAATGTAAATTAATGACTGCGAGTGTGCTGTAAACGTATACGTATATACGCATATACCTTCAGCACACACACACACGCGCGCGCACATACATATAGATATACATTAACTGCGTTTGGAGAAATCGATCCGCCGTCGACAGACTCTAAATAAACATATTATTATTATTATTATATTTACAGTGCGTGTAATGCAGAGGGACCTGGGCCTCGGTAAATAAATTAACCAGATTTCCGGACAGAACGCGAGACCCAATCGAACGACGACCGAAACACGGAGGTTTAATAAAACGATTTAATATAATATATATATATATATATATATATATATCATGCGGGTTGTTAATGCACGGGCGCGCAATAATAATAATAATAATAAAAAACTGCGCGAAGCGATCGCTTAAACCAAACCGTGTATATTATACACGAGTATATACGTATATTATAATATATTGTTTAAAAATAATGTAAGTATACCCGTCACAATAATATATTACATGACTAGCGGCCGGGCGAGCATCGTGGGTTTAATACCTGTTATAACTTTAGGCATATATGATATAGGTTAATATAATATATTGTACAGACAGGTATGCCATAAATCGTGTACGATTAAAAGAGATAATATGTATAGTATATAGTATGAAAAATATCTGGGGGTCTTTTTTTGAAAACTAACAAATCGCATATACGAATAAACCCTTTCAATTTTTATATGGTCGTAGGTATTCGACTGAAAAATGCTATTCTTGAATGTCTGCAGTCGACAAAAATTAATTGTATTCGAGATTATATCTACAACTAAAAGTGTATAGTACCTATAATATATCACGGAAAAAAATATACTAAAATATTATAGTTAAAAAATATATATAGTAGGTAATTATAACTATTTAATAGATAAAGTTACTAAAATGATATAATTATTATGACTATACTCGTATAGTTGTTTGTTATAGTAATGATTACTATATTTTATAGTAACTGCAATTTTTAATGTTTAAATTAACTATAAAATATAATTTAAATAGTTTTTACTAATATCAATAGGTATAGTTAAAATTACTATAAATATTAGTATAATGCGCGTATATTTTATAGTACACTATAAAATATTGGTTTGAAAAAAAGTTATTTTCTATTTTCATTTTTCGTATTGAATTCTTATATACCTACTGGACATATGCTCATAGTCCCAAAACAATGGTACATACAATACAGTTCTTATAATTGTGTCAGTTTAAAATGAACTATCAACTATATTAACAGGTAATGGTCGTTATACTTATTAATTATTATACATTATACCCGCAGGAATCTTCTTTGAAAATATTAAACGATTGGGTTATAGGTAATGTTTGTCTGGCTTTTACATGAGTGACGAGTGATATCTCAAGAATATTTATTATTTAATATACGGTGAATACTATAGGTTATACCATACGTTTTCACGGTACGAAGATAAAAGTTCTATGAATGCATATAATATATACTATATAAAGTACAGCAGAAGTTCGGTAATCACGCGATTATAAGCAATAAGTGTTAAGTTTTTGAAATTTCATTTAAAGAAAAACTAATCGGCAGGCGGCTATAACGTCGCGATAATCCCAATTATGGTCATCATACTCATCAAACAATAGATCAGTTATCACTTTTTCGCTAGACACGCACTCATCAGTTATCATAATAATTAGTGGAGTACAAAGTTAAAAACGATTTCTTGCAGAATAAACTGTATGCAGATTATAATTATAAATTTATAATAATTTATATTTTGTCATCATCATTCATCGGTGATATTTCTACAGCAGGCAAACGGTAAGTTTTGATTTTTAATTTTTGTAGTAGATAAAACATAAAAATCTTATAAATAGATATATTTTTATTAGTTTTTGTTTCGTTACTCAAATCAAATTAATTTTAATTTAAGTGGTTTGTATTAATAAAATAATAAGCATTATTGGGTAAGGTTTAATGTTACTTATCATAAAATTCGATATGTATAACTTATTTTACAATCTGAGATATATATATATATTTACCCTCGCTTCTAATCATATTTAATTTTATACCACTAATAATATTTGCTGATTTCACAATTATAAGTAAGAAAAAACGAATTTTAATATTCTTATTAAAAATATTGTAAGTGTATTGTATATATATAGGTAATCAAGTATATAATACGAAATACATTATTTATTTTGTCAATGTATTATTTCATATACTTAGATATAGATGATTCACAAAAAAATGGTTAAATGATGTGAGATTTAAACATCCAATATTCTAGTAATTAAATTTGAAGGTAAATAACTTTGATTAAGGAATTATAACACAAGTATTACACAACCAATATTGTTTTTTTTTTTATAATCTCCCTACGACATGACTGTAGGGCCCGGAACGTAATGCGCTTAAAAAAGTACAAATATGTTTTAAACATTTTGCACTTGTTAGTTATTTTTATTATTTTCACGGAAAAGTAATAAAATCGTAGAATATAATTATATTGTGATAGCATTTATAGCAGCATTTCTATTGTGTACAATTATTTATAAATGTAGTAACAAATTAGTAATTTAGGGAAATATGATATATTATTTTATTAATAAAAACGGAATTTAAATAATTATACAATATAGCTAATGAAAACTCACAAAACTAATGTTTTAATTTCATTTTTACCATACATTTTTAATTTATACTGTCATTATTCATTAAAATATGTTGCAAAAAATAAAATGGTAAAAAAGTGTAATATGCTCTTAAAACAACAATATTCCTAAATATGCAAAAATATGATCTATAAACTTTTAAAATTTTTTTGGTAGTGAAGTAAAATGAATTCTTAGCTTACTTACCAATAAATCTAATAGTCCACAGAAGACATGTAAATTCAACAACTTCCGAGTCCTATACTTAAATAATATATTCTATAACAATTAAATCAAATTAACTTTTAATATAACTAATTATATATGTGATGAAAATAATGATTTATTACCTTTATTTGGCTTGATTAAATGTATTTTTATTGTAAAAAATGAACCATTTATTATTTATAATTTCTTTGATACTATTAATTATAATGAACATTTTGGTGCATTTTATGTAGGGGGAGACCGGGTACAATTGTAACACGGATAAATTGTAACATCGTTGATTTTCTCTTCTAGGTTCAATTTTAAAATATGGCAAAAATATGACAGTTGTCCCACTGTAATAGCAACTAATTCCCCTTAATCAATACTATTGTTTATTAAAATTATATTTGTAAGAAGCAGTTATTCATTATTCTTTATTATAGGTAATAACCATGCCACAAATAAGACAAAGAACAACAAATAGAGGCAATGATAGTGAAGCCATAAAGAGAGCTGCAGAAATCTGTATAAAAGAAAATAAATCTGAGCGATCAGTTGCAAATCAATTTGAAATTTGTCATAAAAGTTTAAATCGCTACATAAAAAAATTGAAAGCTCATCGTGATTCTAGTGGTCCTCTACCTGAATGTGGTTATCACCCTCACATCCGAATATTTAAAAATTTACAAGAATCAATGTTAACAAATTACTTGAAAAATTGTGCCGACATGTACTTTGGATTGAGCACCAAAGACGTGAAAAAACTTGCTTATGAATTTGCAATTAAATTAAATTTAAAAATACCACCTAGTTGGACCAAATATGAATTTGCAGGTGATGATTGGTTTTCTAGTTTCTTAAAACGCAATAATACTCTATCCATAAGAAAACCAGAGGCTATACAAGTTTATCTAGGGCAATGAACTTCAACCCAGTAAATGTTAAAAAATTTATGGATAAATATAATTCAGTTCTTGTGAAATATAAATTTGAAGCACATCAGATATATAACTTAAATGAAACTAGGATAACTACTACACAAACTTCTGGTAAAATAGTAGCACAAAAAGGAAAAAAACAAGTAGGAGCAATTACATCATCCGAACGTGAAACATTGATTACAATGTGCTTAGCAGTAAGTGCTTTGGGCAATACTGTACCACCTATGTTTGTTTTTCCAAGAATGAATTATAAAGATCATTTTATTAGAGGAGGACCACCAGGGTGTGTACCCACCGTGCAAGAAACTGTTCCAAACATTCTAGGAATATACATTTTAAGTTCCACTATTAACATAAGAATGGTATACATTCAATGAAAGTATCTGTAATGTTCCACAAAAACATGCGTTGTATTAATTTTAAGTTCCAATGTAAACATTACAACGAAACGTTCCCGCAGACCTACATTTATGGTTTCATAAAAACGTTGCTTAGTAAATTTATAATGGTTCCCAATATGTTACGGGAATATTTCAGAAAAACACAAGCTCCAGCCGTTCCGATAATAACAATCTAAAAATAAATATTGGTTTAGACGTAATACGTGGAATACCCGAATACAGCGGCTATCGCCTATCAGTGACTGGCAGGCGGGCGGCGGAATCCTCATTGTAATTTTGTATTTTTGTAATAAATTGCTTGCTCTCGCATTAGTCGCATTACGCTAACCGCACTACCCGAGTAACCGACTACGACTTAACACTTAACGTCTCACTGCTGTCAGTGTACTAAATATTGTATATTTTATTACGTTAAACTGTGGTGAGTCTTAACTGGTGAGAATAATAATACTGTAAACGACGTCTTCGATTTGTTTTATATAAAGTGTTTTTGAATCGTCATTATAGTTATTTAAATAAACAATTACATTTCCGAATACTTTGGCGAATATGAATAAAAAGGTAAGTTATAAACAATCTGCCAGCAACTGGAGAAAGCCACTAAAACAATTAGGTATTGTTTATTTGCTGGCACCAGTGTTGGTAGGCCAGTAGGCATGCTATTATGCCAACAACTGGTATCGTGTAATATTGGTATTATAATAAATGTAGTCAAAAGTCAATCATAAGTTATTTTTATGGAATTCCAGAATTGGTCAATGAAATGGGTCGTGGCAAAATTCATAGATACTAAAGATTATAGTGTTCTTCCCATAAATTGGCTGGTAGAAAATGAAACTGAAAAGTTGATCACCAGCACAATCAAATTTTGTAAATGGCCACCGATAAGATCTGTGACTAGCGATGATCTGAATAAAGCTGTGAAACCAAAAGATTCTTGGACACAGTATGAAATTAAGATACTTGGCGGTAACAAAACTCACGGTAAGAAAAAAACCATATTTAATTGACAGTATTTTGATAAATAAACAAAGTAAAAATATGAACTAATTAGTGCAATGTTTAACTATTAGACAACTTTAGTAAAGCATGGCATGTTCAAGTAGTGACTTCTGATAATGAAGAACCAGTGGCAAAAAAAAAATGCAATACTCCAGTGACTGATAGTTCAGATGACGAAGGTGAATTATAGAAATTTATTTTTAAAAATGTTGTATATTATTATTATTATTTACATTAATTACCTATTGGTTCTGAAAAACCATATAACAACAATTCAATAATGATTAATATTTAATTTAAATGTTTGTACCTATCTAGATATAGGTTTTGTTATTGCTCCAGCTATATCTAATAGTTTATTGATTGGTTCTCAAGACATGACTTTTAAAGACAGCATACCACAATTGTCTACAACTCCAATATATACAGATATGTCAATTATACCAACAGAGCCACAATCATCAACTGCTTCTTCAATATACAGAAATATATCAATAACAGAGCCACAATCATTTACTAATCAAATAACTTCAGATCAACATTCTGCAGAAAGGTCCATCTTAGAACAGGTAATTAATTTATATATATACAAATTAATTGGACGGTTTTTAAGAGAAAGGGCTTAAGTCAAATATTGATACTTTTCAGGAGACACAAAAAACATGTAACTTTATAAATTGTTTATGTTTTTTAGGCATTTTTATTTATCAGGTAACTTTATAAGTAACCAACAATAAATTATTGACTAACCTATTAAGTGTATCTATATTGTTAAAATTTGATACCTATCAGTTGCCATCGACAAAAGAGCACGACTTCTTTTGGACGTTTTGTATAATATAATTGCTATTTTGTACCTATATTAAATCATAAGTTACTTAATATAAATCACTTAACAAAATTTGCTATACAAAATTAGTGACTTAGGCCCTTCCTCATAGAAAAAAATTCTGTATAACGACTTAATACCAAACGCATTCTATTTTATCTCATAAACCAAATCCCACATGAAATCTACAGTGGTATCATTCAACGCGGCTTGAAATTTCACACAAAATTAATGCATCAACTGAAAATGTCCAAAATTGACTTAATTATGCCTAATCTATGTAACAAAATATGTTATTACTTATTATTGTAAAATATTGTTCATTGATGTAAAACAGATATCTAATTTTGAAGTATATCAAAATGAGTTTAGCAGCTCACAACAGTCGCAACTCATAATATCTTCAAATGACGCCAACACATCCACCAACACAAGTTTAAGAACGTATGAAGGTAAAACAATAGTCAATTATAATTTATAATTATAAGTGATAATTGATAAAATAATAACTACTAATAAATAATAATTAATAATTATTAACTTTTTATCATTAAAATAAATACTAAACTGGTTTTCAATTTTAAATTCGCATAAAAATTAAATTGCTGTTCATTTTAATTGTAGACTATAACCACAGTAATACAACTGAGTAGTAGTATTTTTTTTTTTATTATTTTATGATATTAACGCCAATCGGCTTTTTACATATAAAATAGTAAATTTTACATATAAATAGGTTATTAATACAAAAGTTGTAGATATTTAAATACTAATAAATTACAAGCAATAACAAATTAAGGCCAAATATTAATATTATTCTCATTTAAACTGTGTATTGTTCTAATAAAAGGATCGTTTACTAAATAGTAAGAACGGAGAGTAGGAAGGACCTTCCTGGAAGGTGAAAGGTCTCATTGGATATAGTATCGATGGTTAGAATTGGAACTCTCAAGTTTAAACGCTTGGAGCAGAAGCGGTTTGGGTATACTGTTTTTGGTGCACTGCACCAACAATGTTAGGGTGGTGGGTGGTCTTGATTGAGCATGTGCTGACCGCAATGTTTAATAAATGAATAAAGTAATAAAGTACCTAATCAATGACATTTGATAAATGATAATCGTGGTTAAAACTGTTGAAAGCGTCGAGTTAAGAATATAAGGTATTAGCATCGATTATAAATACTATATATAGTACTATAATATTATATAGCAGTCTCCCGCTTTTATTAGGTATATAAAAATATTTATTTGTGATTAAATAATTAAATAATTTTAATTGTTATTAAAATAATAAACTATTTATCAGAAACTCAGCATGGAATTTTAAAAAAAATCCTGAATGAGGTGATAACTAATCGCTTAATGAACGAACGTATGCTGAACCAAATTAGTAGCTTAAGAAATGAAGTAGCGACACTGACTTCTCAAATGGTACCAGTTTTGTCTAACATTCCAGATAAACAATTCGTAGATAAATTTCCATTTACTTCCAAAGTGAGTGTTTTGGAATGTGAAAGTAAATTAAATTCAGATAGTGATATGAATGAAAAATTTGTAAGTAGAGAAAAGTAGAAAAAATGTTATGAATGTATTTTTATTTATTTCTGTTTTTCTTGCATTCACAACTTATATTTGATAGCAAAAGATGCTTTGCTCTGTTGGTGGTGTTGATGCAAAAAATAATATCAGAAGAATTCTCTCCAAATTATTTACTAACAAATTTGCAATTGAATGTTCGTGGACTGGAAGAGCTTTTGAGAAGGATGCAACAAAGTTCAGAATTCAGGAATTAACAATTATTGCTATAATGAAAAGTGTGTAGTGTTATTTTGTGCTATAGTATCGTGTACTGAAAATTTTTTTTTTAATAGGTGTAATCAAAAATCGGTATCTCCAATATTCAGATTCTAACTTTGAATTAGATGTCCAGTGTTGGTTTAGAACCGCCAAAACTAGATTTGACAGGGAAAAACAATCTGAAAATGTTCAATAATAATAGTTTAAACTTAATTTTAAATTTTACCAATCTGTAAATTGACATTTTTTCCAACAAAGTAGTTCGGAAGTTTATTATTTTATTTTATTTTATACACAATAAAATAAGTTGTTTTACTATAATTTGTTGCATTACCAATCTATATATTTGTTTATGATTCATTTTATTTTTGTTTTTAACAAATATTGATATTCAATTTTTCTTTAGGGTCCATAACATCTAGTAGAAGAGTAAAAAATATTGGAACCATATCGAATCGTCAATTTAAAAGGCGACTTAAAAATGAACTTGAAGTAAGAAACAATTACGATAAAATTCTTAAATACATTGTAAATTTGTAACCCTATTGAATTTTCAAGTTTTTTTATTCGAAAGTTATAATAAATTGATCTAACAAGTGCAATTTTCCTTTAGACTTCCAATCAAACATTTAATCCAACAGAAGTAATAAAACCTTCCATTGAACATAGCAACAATGTAAAGCCTATCAATGCAGAAATTAGTTTGGAACCATTATTATATCAACATTTACAAGAAGAAGTTATGTTACCTGTAATGGCACGTGCATCTTATAATGTTAGTATTGATGTAGTTTATTTTTTCTACATATAATTAATGCAATAATTGCATATATCGATTTTAGGATATTTCAAAAAGAGTTCAGCCAATTTTTGAAAAAGAAGTTACTAATGAAGATTCAAATCAAGACTTAATAAAAAAACTTCGTAAATGGGCTGTAAACTTTAATGTGTCTCATGGAAGTGCCAATGAAATATTATCCATTCTGCGTAGTATTGGTTTAAAGGTGCCAAAAGATATAAGAACTATTTTACATGAACATAAGGCTAATCATCCAATAAATGAAATTCAAAATGGTTCCTATCTAGATATAGGCATATTAAATATAATCAAACCTCATTTAGTCAAACAGATAAAACATATTCCTAATAATATAACTATTAAATTAAGTTTTAATATTGATGGCCTGCCCTTAGCAAAGAGCTCAAAAACTCAGTTTTGGCCTATCTTATTATCATTTGTTAACTTACCTATTTTTGTAAAAAAGATTTTTCCTGTTGGTATTTATCATAGTTATAAAAGCAAACCTGGAAATATAAATGAATTTTTTAGACCATTTATAATTGAGCTACAAAACTTATTAACTTGCGGTATTAAAATTGAAAATAAACATATAAACTTTGAAATTGTTCATATTATAGCTGACGCGCCAGCAAAATCGTTCTTATTGAATGTCAAGAATCATAATGGGTATTTTTCTTGTAATTCATGTGAAATAGAAGGAGATTATTTAGAAAAAAGAGTATGCTTTTTAGGTGAGTCTGCTCCATTACGTAGTAATGAATCATTTAGATCTAAATCTAATTCCGAGTATCATAAAGATGGTGTAAGTCCTCTAATAGAACTTCCTATAGATGTTACGAGCACAGTTGTCCTCGATTATATGCATTGTGTTTGCCAAGGGGTAATGAAACGCCTTCTTGAGTTTTGGATACGGGGGAAAAAACCAGTTAGAATTATAGAAGAAAAAAAATCTAATATTTCTCTATCTTTGTTCAATTTAAGAAAGTCAGTACCATCGGAATTTGCTCGCCTGCCAAGATCCCTCGATGACCTTGAATTTTGGAAAGCTACAGAATTTAGAGAAATTCTTCTATATACAGGGGTTATTGTATTGAAGTCGAATTTAAAAAAAGAATTTTATGAACACTTTCTTCTATTAGTTGTATCGATTCGAATATTATGCTCAAATCAAATTAGTAATGAAAATAATAATTTAGCATTAAAGCTTTTACGACAATTTGTTGAAAACTATTCATCGCATTATGGTCCTCAATTTATTAACTATAATGTCCACAGTTTAATCCACTTACCATTTTATGCACATTTACATGGATCTTTGGATAACTTTAGTGCATTTAAATATGAAAACTATCTTCAGATACTCAAAAAGTCTATGAAGTGTTGTAGATACCCACTTTCTGAAATTAAAAATAAAATAACCGCATCTGAAGGAGAAGAATTAATAGCCGTTTCGACTTATGATGAGAATAATTTAATTAAATCTTTTAAGATAAATGAAAATATTTCAAATTTTGGAACCACTTATTATAACCAAATTACATTAAATTCCAACAATTATATTCTTAGTTGTAGTAATCCGAAAGATCAGTGTATCATCTTGGATGATGACAGTATTGCAATAATTCAAAATATATATAAACAAAATTCAAAAATTGATAACACTATTCAATTATCTGTTGTAAAAATCTTAACTATAAACGATTTATTTATAAAACCAGTGCCCAGTAGACATGTTGGAATTTATTTAATTAATACCAATTGTATATCAAGTCCCTATAATATTGTTTTAAACACTGTAAAATATAAATGTTTTTTCTCTCGGCTTATTAATAATCAAGCTGTTGTGATTTCTTTATGTCACAATGTTTAATTGTTTAATATAGTTTGTAGTTGTAAATAAGTGTAAAATGTATAATTATGTATTATAGAGCTTAAACATCAATTCTATATTTTTATTTCAAAATCAATAACTTTGTAACATTTCACTCGAGTATATACAATATATTAACATATATTAATATACTAATATTATTTACCCAACTATTTTGTTATTAAGTTATAAACAACTAAGTAATATAATATAATATAATACACTATTGTATTTATAGTTTTTACAACCAGTACCATATTATAGAATTGTAGGCATTTTTCAATTAAAAGTGAAATCATATATCAGAACCATATATTATATAATTTTAAATAATATTAAATTTAAGTGTTTTTTGTTCAACTTACCAATAATCAAACAAATGTAATCTCATTGTGCCATAATGTGTAATATACATGTTTATACTAATATACATTTTGAATATTTATTTATGTTTGATGTGGACATTTATTTAAAATAAACTTATTTATGGTACCTATGAATTGGAATTTTTTATTTTATTTGTAAATTTTATTTCAACTAATGTAATAACTGGGTATATTTTATATACCTATTTATGTAATTTTTACAAATACTTTGTATAAAATAAATATCTATGAGTAAGTGTGTCCATGGGTTATTCAATTTAATAAATTGATGATAATTGTTAGACAAAAATTCTTTATTTATTTATACAATTATTATAATAATTATACTTTATAGCGGTGCAACTCGTTTGCGCACAATCTACATTTTTTACCTAGATATCGATGACTCGTTTGCGCACAACGAAATCAGTCGTTTACCTGTAACGGACGACTCGTTTGCGCACAACATAAACACTGAGTAACATATATTTTATATTTTTAAATTTGGACTTACCTAAAGTAATTGAATTATCGGTAAAAATTATCAGTACAAATTACCAGCATATCAATAATCAATATATATCGATTTAAAATAATCGTCGTGTATTAGGAAAGCATAATACTTTTAAACAGTCGTTCGCCAGAAAGCTGTACTATAACAACTGACTATATTGACTATGGATATCGAAATTTGTGATGTTTTTGAAACGCGTCGAGGAAAAAAATGTTTAAACATAGAAAATTATAAATTTAGAGAATTCCGAACTTTAAAATCTGGTGATAAAAATTTTAGGTGTACAAATAAAAATTGTTCCGTAAGTGCTGTAGTTAGGTTAGTTAATGAATCATATAAAATTTTAAAAATTACAAACACGCATACCCATGACGAGTACGACGACCGAACAATTCATCGAGAAGTAGTAAGAAGCAATTTGAAACGTAGAGCCGAAGAGGATTTACATATTAAACCAAATAAACTAATACGCCGGGAATTGAAAAACAACGAAAAATCTGAACATCTTCAATATAGCGATATGAAATTAATTCGAAGATCCATGTATGAAAAACGAAAAAAATCCTTTCCAAACATACCGAGATCTTTAGAAGATGCTAAAAAACAATTAGTTGATGATCAGCATAATATTACTTACAAAGGTAATAAATTTTGTTTCGTTAGTGATGATGAAAATATATTTATATTTACATGTAAACAAAATTTGGAATTGCTACAAAGTGCAGAACACGTTTTTGGGGATGGGACATTTTCATTCGCTCCGAAATATTTTGTTCAACTTTATACTATTCACGTATTTACAAACAATTTTTATGTTCCTGTGGCATTTTGTTTTTTAAGTAACAAACATACTGATACTTACATCAGTATGTGGAAAACATTACAAAATATATGTATTCAAATTACTGGTAATATAATAAATTTAAGCAATTTTCATGTCGACTTTGAAAAATCTGCGCATAATGCAGTATTGCAAATTTTCCCTAAATGCAAAATCATGTGTTGTAACTTTCATTTAGGGCAAAATTGGTTTAGGCATATTCAACAACATAAATTATTATCGAGCGAGTACTTAAACAACGACTCAGAAGTTGGAAAATGGATGAAATGTTTTTTTGGATTAAGTTATTTACCCCCTGACGAAGTTTCCGATGGATTTTGTGATCTTATGTCAATAGCACCAAGTACTACGTCTAATATTTCTATATTTTCCGATTATATTTTAGAAAATTACATAACATCGGACAGCAATTTCCCTCCAACATTATGGGCTTGTGAACCTACTAATAATCCTAAGACTACTAATGGTGCCGAGAGTTATCACAAACAATATAATAGTCAGTTTTACACTGCTCATCCGCACATACATCAAGTAATCGACGTCATTATTGGAATTCAAAGTGACACTGATTTAAAAATTAATTCGATAAACAATAAAATCATGAATTTCAAAAGAAAAGAGACAATTAATAAGGAGATACAATTGGAAAACATTTGGAATGAATATAAAAATAATATTATTAATCGTTTAACTTATATGAAGAAAATCGGACTTAAATGTCACCATTCTAAATTAGTATAATTTTATAACTAATAGACTACTATTATTACTTATTAAACCTACAATGCATGTTTTTTAATATATTTTAATTTTTGTAATATTAAAATCATATTTATAATAGATATATCTGAAGGTACTTACATATGTGCTATAATTATAAAACAAAAAAAAATTAAATATTCATGTAATTTTATTTTTATTGTGTAAATTAATAACGTAAAGTAACTTTTATTTTTGTACTTTTTTATTTAATTCAATATATAAATTTTAAATTAATAATTGACAATATTGTTTACGCGTATAATCATTGACGTTATTATTACTTTTATCTGTATTATATTATTGTATATATATCTTATTCTCGCCGATATCTGGTCGATCGATGTTAAATAATATAATAAATACTTAGAAATTCAAAATAATTAAATCTTAATTTATAAATTAATTTTTTTTATATACAATATGTATATATATATTATTATTTTATACAGTCTATTAATTAATTATAATTAAGCAAAATAAGGTAAATGTGCGCAAACGAGTTGTACCTTTATTATTTAAACCTAAAATATGTGTGCGCAAACGAGTTGTGATTTTGTGCGCAAACATGTTGTAAAAAAGGTAAATGTGCGCAAACGAGTCGCACCCCTTTATAGTATGAAATTATAAATTTAACTGTAGAGGTATGTGGGGGGGAGTATCTACCAAATGTACCTTTAAAGTTACAAAGAAAACATACCAGGAACATAATATTTCAAACTATTAATCGATAGTACCTACAAACATCCCGGGAATGGTTTTTAGAAAAATATTACTGTAGTGTTTCAAAAAAACCATTCAGGTAACATAAATCTGAATACAGTTACATAATGTTTTATACAATGTTACAAACAACATGGCATAAGGCGTTTCTGGAATGTTTTTGGAATTCATATGGAAGTTCCAAAGGAATATTCCATAGTTCCATTGGAATTGTTTTTTTACATAACTGTAACGGTTTTTTGCACAGTGGGTAGGCACGTCAAATAAATCAGGGTGGATGCAAGGAGACCAATTCTTAAAATTTATGCATCATTTTGTAAACCATGTAAGACCCACACAAGAAAAAAAGGTGTTGATACTGTTAGATAATCATGAATCACATTTATATCTACCAGTTATTGATTATTGTAGAGAAAATGGCGTTGTGTTGCTTTCATTCCCCCCTCATTGCTCCCAAAAACTTCAACCTTTAGACAGGTCAGTGTTTGGTCCATTCAAAAAATTAATTAACCAAGAAATGGATTCTTGGATAAAGAGCAACCCTGGTAAAAGGATTACTATATATATGATTTGCCTTCTGTTACTTCTAATGCCCTTGTAAACGCAGCTACACCAAAAAATATTATAAATGGCTTTTCTGTGTCTGGTGTATGGCCATTCAATAGAAATGTGTTTGATGATGATGAATATGCACCATCAACTGTTACAAACATTGTATTAAATAGTACAGATAACATGCAACCTAATGAAACATCCAATAACACAGAAACAGTTATAATAAACATAATAACTGAAACATTAAGTCAAGAACCAATAACTATATCACCTGAAAGTATTAGACCTTATCTTAAAGCCTAATTAGCACAAAAAATGGCAAAAAAGAGTGGGAGAAAAAAAAGAACAACTAAAATACTAACAGACACACCAGAAAAAAATGAAATTGAACAAAATGCTAACAAAAAAATAAATAGATTGCTAAACGCAAACTACTATATACAGAGGCTAGAAAAAATAAACAAACATCCAAAGCTAAAAAGAAAAATAAGATAGTTGATGAAAGTGATGAAGATGATGATGCTTTTTGTACGGTTTGCTCAGAACTTTATTCAAAAAGTAAAAGTGGAGAATCATGGATTCAATGTCATAGGTGCAAACTTTGGTCTTATGAAGTTTGTACTAAAAACAACTTTACTGTATTTTATATCTGTGATAATTGTGAGGCTTATATAAAGAAAGAAGTGTTCTATAACTTGATTATCTTGTCTGGTCTGTGCGTAGTAAGTATTTTTTTTTATATTTACTTCCTTACATAAATATTTGATAGGGGACAATTGTAACAGTTAAACGGGGGACAAATGTAACATTTTATTATTTTTTAATTATTTCTATTCTTAGTTGAATAAAATTTTAAAAGGAGAAGTAGAATAAATATATTAATATATAATATACATATTTTAATTAATCCTTATAAAATTCTATGCGATTTCACGGGTATACCCGTGTTATAACCGGAATATTACATTTTAATATATTTACTAGAAAAAAATAAAAGTATAAATGGGACAACTTTTAGTAATATTAATATTATATTCCAAAATATCATAAATGGAATATAAATTTAACTTACAATTCAGTTATGTTGTACGAAAACAATAAAATTATGTTTAACAAAAAACATAAATGGAATATAAACGTAACATACAGTACATTTATGTTTTATTTACTGTTTTAAACAACACGGCATATTTCATTATCGGAATGTTTTTAGAACTCTGATGGAAGTTCCGTAGAAATGTTTCAATAAATGTTTCCTAGGAATATTCCTTTTATATAAAATTGTAATTGTTTTTACAAGGTAGGACGTACTCCCAATCGGTATATTTCATGGGCTTAAAAAA